CGGCCGGGGGGGGGGGGGGGGGGGGGGGGGGGGGGGGCTTGGGAAAGGGAAGGTGGCGCATGGCTCCTTCCTGGTCCCAGAGGGCCAAAGGTGGTGCTGGGCGAAGGCTCCGTGGGGGTGGGGGGGGTGGGGGGGGGTTAGGGTACGGAGCCCTTCCCCCCCCTCATGGCTGGGTTCCTGTGGCCAGGCGTGGCCCAGCGGGGGATGGGCTGCGGGGTCTTGGGGGCTCCTCTCCGTGCGTCTCTTTTGCAAGCAGCTTTTCCATGGCCTGCAGTCAGGCCTCCACCGTGGCTCGTTCCTTCCGGCACTCGTCCCTTCTCCTCACAGCCGGTTGGGAAAAGGGGCTACTCTGCACCCTTCGATTCCTGGACTCTGGGGGCCCCGAGAGGGGCTTCAGCAGAGCCTCCTGCTTGGAGCCGAAATCCCAGGCTGTGCAGCCCCCCCTTGCCAGGCGCCTTGTCTGCAGGGAGCTGCCTCCTGGGAGGAAGCCCGCCTGGCCCCTTCCCAAGCCAGCTGACCCACTCAGCCAAGCTCCTTGAAGTGACCAGTATCTGCCCCGGCCCCTCCCTCCCTCCCTCCCTCCCTCCCCAGGTGGGCTACCCCAACGTGGGGAAGAGCTCAACCATCAACACCATCCTTGGGAAGAAGAAGGTGTCTGTCTCCACCACGCCAGGACGCACAAAGCACTTCCAGGTACTGCCAGGAGCTCTGTGGGCTGGGGCTCGGAGCCCCCCTCCCCCCGTCCCTCCTCCCCGCTTGGTCGCCCCCTGGCAGTGAGCCCCCCCCCCCTTTTGAATCTCCATCGGGGAAAGGCCTGGCCCTGGGCTTCCCTTTCTGCTCCCTCTGGGCTGCCTCGTTCTTTCCTGTGGAGAGCCCGGGAGTGGGCAGAGGGGCCCTTGCGTGAAAAGGCAGAGGGTGCAGAAGCCCCCCAGGATGGGAAAGCCCATGCCCCCCATCCCCACCCACCCCCTGGCTCTGCTGCAGCGGAAGCCCGGACCTGGGCTGGCCTGCCCCGCCCTTCCCTGCAGGAGGGAGAAGCCTGTCCTGAGCCTGAGGGGGGGGGGGGACTTTGCAGACGCTGTTCGTGGAGCCCTCCCTTTGCCTTTGCGACTGTCCCGGCCTGGTGATGCCCTCCTTCGTCTCCACCAAAGCCGAAATGGTTTGCAGCGGCATCTTGCCCATCGATCAACTGCGTGACCACGTCCCCCCCGTCACCCTCATATCCTTTCTTGGGGCACACCAGGGCCGGGCAGGGGAGGGGCACGGAGGGTGGGCGGGAAGGGAGGAGGCTGCCCAGGTTCAGCCTGGAGGAGGGAGGCAGGCGAGGGCCTCTGGCCGGAGAGGGCCAGTCCTTCAGGCCCCCCGTCTGGAGACAGCTGGGGGGGGCAGAAGGGGAGGAGCCGGCCCACCCAGGCGGGGCTCAGCTGTTCTGGAGTGAAGAGGGGAGGAAGCGTGGGGGGGGGGTTTCTCTCAAGAGGGAAAGAGGGGCCCCCACCCAAAGGCCCTTCCTTCACTCCCCCACGTCTGCCAACGGATCCCTCGGCCAGTCCTGGAGGCCACCTATGGGATCAGCATCCTCCGGCCACGCGAGGATGAGGACCCGGACCGGCCACCCACACCGGAGGAGCTTCTCTCGGCCCTGGGCTGTGAGTAACACCCCGGGAGGCCCAGAGGGGCTGCGAGGAGCTTTGTGCAGAATCTGGATGTCCCAGGTCCACAAGCTTCAGGGAGAAGAGGGCAGGAGCTGCCCCTTGGACACTGGTCTGGAGGGTGACCTCTGGGGTTGCTGGGGGAGGGCAAGGGCAGGGGGGATGGGGGGGCATGGATAATGTTTCGGGAGCGGAGAAGTAGAACCTCATACCAGAGAAAACCACTGGGTGGAAACCTGGGCCGGGAACAGGCAGTTCTCTGGCTGAGACTGAAAAGGGGGAGGAAAAGGGGGGTTGTCACTCCCCAAGGGCAGACCCTGGGCAGCTCTTAAAGGGGAAGGGCACAGCCCCCTCTTCCTCCTCCCCCTCCATAAATCTGATCCTCCGTCCATGGGTCTCCTTGGAAGGGGGAGAGGGGCATTCTAAGTGCTGGGTTGGGCTAAGCCCTGTGTGGCCCCCCCTTGTCTTCCCAGCAAAGGCCCCGGGGCCCGGGCTTGCTTCCCCCCCCACGATGCTCGTCCCGCAGCCTCTCGTTTTCTCCCTCCCCTCCACATAGGCATGAGGGGCTTCATGACGGATCACGGGCAGCCAGACCAGCCACGCTCAGCCCGCCTGGTGCTGAAGGACTTTGTGACGGTGCGTTTGGGGGCGCCTGAGCCGGGGTGCCGGCCTTGGGGGCAGAGCCGCTTTCAGAAGGGGAGGGCGCAGAGGAGGCATCCTTTTGTCCCAGGGGCTTCACTGGGGGGGGGGGGGGGCTTGTCTGCACCACCGCTGGCCTGGCAGGAGGCAAAGCCCCCCCCAGAGCACCCCTCCCCCATGATTCCATGAGGGATTCTTGTGAGGAGGCCGGAGCCCCCTTTCCTCCAGGCTCTCTGATCCAGACAGACGGGCGGAGGGAGGTGGACGTATGCAGCCACAGCAAGTCTTCAGCTGCTGCTGGAGCCCACAGGCCGGGTTGGAGAACCCACCCTTCCAAGGCCAAAGCAAACTGCAGGGGGTTTAACCCAATGTGTGAACCCGGCCAGAAAGCAAGAAACACCCGGGAACAGGGAGGCCCTGATTAGGGGCAGACTGGCTGCCTGGGCAGGGACCGGGGGGGGGGGTCCCCGAGGGCTGCTTTGGGGGGGGGGCGTGGGCACGGCCTTGCTCCCCCAGAACGTTTCTTCCCCTGGCCTTCCCTGCAGGGCAAGCTGCTCTATTGCCACCCACCTCCGGGGACGGATGCCAAGCTCTTCCAGCGGGGGCTCGAGCGGCTTCGTGCCAGCAAAGGGGCAGCAGTGCAGAGGGACGGGGAGCCGCCGCCTGGCAGGGGCCCCAGGGCAAAGCAGGTGGAGAACCCAGTGGACCTGGCCTTCTTCCACCAGGTGAGCCGGGGGGAGGCCTCAGGTGGTCCTGCTCGCTCCTCCCTGCCAGCAGCCCCTTCGGGGGCAACGTTGCCTGGGCCTTTGTCCGCCCTTGGACCTCGGGGCCTCAGTGCTCTGCCTGTCTTCCAGGAGAACGTCCGGGCCCTGACCAGAGGCAACCGGGCCGGGCTGGGCTACCCAGCAGGGACGGCTGCCCACCCCCTTTCCGGACCTGGCTTGGCCGATGGAGCCGGGAAGCCGTGGAAGAGGCACGGCAACAGGAACAAGAAGCAGAAGCTGCGCCGCCTCACCCGGCACCTGGAGGCCTGATGGGGGGAGGCCGGGGGGGGGAGGGCAGCAGAGGCTCCCGAGGGAAGGGGCTGTCCTGGCGCCCTCGGGCGTGGGGAAGGGGCTCACCTCAGAAATAAAGGACGTTTCCGAACGGCGTCTCCTGATCCCTTGGGCTGGGTCGTCTCCTGAGTCACCACGAACGGAGCCTGACACCCATCGGCCGGCTGGGGGGGTTGGGTGGTTCTGCCAGAGGGGGGGTGGGGTGGGTGGGGTTTTTATGGGCTTTTTTATTACTATGCACTGGAATTACAAATGTTGTAAGGTGCCAGGAGCCGAAGTGCAACGTAACTTTGTTAAATGAAATAAATGAAAGGCTGAGAACTTCCCGTCAGCAGAATCTACTCCCCAAGTGGTGCCTTTTCCTTTCTCAAGCCTCCTCCCTTCGCTTCGCACCCTGGCCGGGCAGGTGCCTCATGGGGACAGAGCTGGCAGTAGAAGCCACAATGACGGTAGCAGCCTCTGAAGCCTGTCCTGGCTCAGGAGACCTGGGTGGGTCTTGCCACAAGGCCAAGGAGGAGGAGGAGGAGGAGGAGGCTCAAGGGAGTGGGAGGGGGGAAGGGACCACCCCAAGGGCCCCCGGTTGGCCCCCAGGGAGGAGCAAAGGCTGGCCTGACCCCCCCAAGGCTGCCCTCAGGTCCCCCAAGGAGGGCTGGCTCTAGTCCTGCTGGGCCTGGGCCAGCTTGGAGCCTCATGGCACCCGCTTCTGCCCTGCCCAGTGTGGGTGGGGGTGAGGGGTCGCCTGATCCTTGCGGGGATTCTCAGCTTTCCTGGGGCTGCCGGGAGTCTGTCCCCCTTGTGGGCATCCCCTGCGGCTCATTCCCTCTCCCCCACACGGGGGCGCTCTTCCCCCTGGATTAGCCCCAGGGAGTTTCAGCCAGAAACAAGCCTCTTTCCCCTTATGGGGACGGGGGAGGGGAGCAACCTTGGGAAGTCATTGAAAAAACAACCCCCTGTAAGGTTTTATTATTTGTTCTTTTACATATGCGGACTTCTTAATATTTTGTCTTTATTATATCAATATATATATATATAGGAGTGATGTAACTGAACAGAAAAACCCATGGAAAATTAGCTGGCAATATTTGTATTCAGCAAGAAATTAACAGATGCCTCTTCCCTTCTGTGGGAAAAGTAAAAAAAAACAAAAAACATTTATTTATTATCAAAATTTATTTGCCGCCCAATCCCGAAGGACTCCGGGCGGCTTACAAAAAAGAGAGGAAAAAAAGAATAATAATAAAAAAGACAGATTTATCACAAAACCACCACATGCATTCGTTCTAATCAGGGCTGGAGCTCAACAATGAGGCCAAGAGCCCCAGGGGCTGCCGGAACAGCCAGGTTTTTACAGCTTCCCTGAAGGCTTTACTTCCCCTTCAGGCAGAAGCGGGGGGGGGGGGGGTTTGGAGCTGCCTCCGACCCTCTGACATACAAGCGTGGGGTGTGTGTCCGTCCCTTGCCTCGCCTCCATGCAGCCTGTTTTTCGCTGTGCAACACTTGAGGTGTTCCATGCACCCAGCACCTTGATGGGATTTAGAGGTGGGCTTGACTCGGCCATCCCCAAAACCTCCATTTCCTTTTTTCAGCTCTGCTTTGGGGGATTTACGTGGTCATGTTGCAAGGCCCCCTTTGCGCTGAGTTCCAGTCTCCCAAGAGATGTTGTCCTGCTACCCCGCAAGCATCCCCTGGAACAATGAAGGCTTTGTGGTGCCCTCTGGGGTGTTGAGCTGCCCAGGTCCTGAGGCCATGAAGCAGTAGCAGACCATAACACTAACTCTCCCCCTGTCCCAAAGGGGCTTTTTCAGGAGGCAACTGGCCTTTTGTTTTTTTTCTTTGAAGACGTTTTGTTTCTCATCCAGTTTTTTCTTTGAAGAAACCCTCTTTCCCCAGGCCATCCACACATTCCATTCCAGGGCTGCAACCAGAAACTCCAAATCTGGTTGTTTAAGCTTCAATTTCATTCCTGTGTGGCTTAGCAGCTGGTGCGGGGCTCCACAGGGATCAGTTCTAGAGTTGGCCCCATTGCACAAATCCAGCAGGCACCCACACCACGCACACAGCTTGTCCATTGAACTGACCGCTTCAGAGTTCAAAGCAATTCCTGAGCCAATAAGGAGGAGCCGGGATGGCAGAAAAACGAAAGCCCAAAGTCTTGGAAGGAAGGAAGCTCAGCTAGGCTGCTCCCCTTCTGACCTGGAGAGCATGTCTTCCCCAGATGCCCCCAAGCGGAACCCCCAAAGGCTGCCTGCCCTGCTCTGCTCACTACAGCTGAGGAGGGGGCTTTGGATGGTTTTCTTTTTCTTAAAACACTCTTTGTTTATGTTTTGCTGTGAGCTGCTCCGAGTTACCGATGGCAGGTAGCAAGGACTTGTTAATATTTTGGAAGCAGCAAAGTGCATGGAAGGAATGTTCCAGTGACATCACTGGCTTTTGTGGAGTGGGGGCATCGGAGGAGCCCTTGCTGTGCTTGTACAGAAAGTGGACAAAGGTCTCTGGCTTCACTGTCTGTGTCATTCAGACAACGCTGTGTAAATGCTCTTAGCACTGGAGTGGGTCCCACACCTCCTCCAACACCCGGGGTTGTTTTTTGGGGGGGCGGGGGGATGCTTCTCTGGCCAGTGGGTAGATCTGCCTAGCCAGGGACGTTTCATGGGGAGAAGGGCCTCTAGGTGGCCCTTGGGGACTCGCCAGCTATCTTGGGTGCCAGAGAAAACATCTGCAGCAGCTGTTGTCACCTGTGTGGGGGGGGGGAGGCTCGTCAGGCCCACAACTAAGGCCCGGTTCCTAAGACCCACCGGCTGCAGCTCCATGTCCGTCCCCCCCCTTGTGTCGCAACTTCTGCCTGGTCCAAGACAAGGGGGGGGGGGGAGAAAGGAGCAGCTCAGGGCCCATGACAATGGGCGAGGTTCCCCTGGATCCCCTCCTGATAAGACCCGGACCCCGGGACAACTCCCCTCCCGCTTTCTGCCCGCTGGGGCGGGGTCTGTTCCGGGGCCCTGGCTCACGTCCAGGAGGAAAGCCTGCGGGGGGTGGGGGGCGCTTTCCCTGCAGCTGGGCAGGAGGCGTCCTCGGCCTGGTCGATCAGGGGGCTGCCCGGACGCTCCCCCCCCCGCAAGAGTCCTGCTGGCCGAGCGGCTGAAGGGGCGCCGGAGGGCAAAATCCCCCCAGGACGGGAGGGGGCATCTTGAATTGGGGCTGCGGCCCGGGGGAGGCCTTGGAGAGTGCCGGGGAGGCTTCCCGCCGGGGGCTGCATCGGCCGCACTTCCACGGCGGGCACCGGCCCTTCAGAG